GAAAGGGGATTTTTTTTCAAGGATAAATTCCACACTAAACAACAACAACTATTACCATGCAGAGCACTTACTCTACCTCCCTACCTCCTGCTACCAGAAGCCATAATTATGTCTTCTTTCCTAATTCTCATGGCTAGGTACTGAGGGTATATTATTCTCATTATGCAGATGAGAATACTAAGGAATGGAGAAGTGTTTTATCTCATGTCACACAAGTCATTGTGGATCAGGCTCCATCTTGGCTTCTTAAGGAATCTAAGCCTATTACCTCTTGAGTTTTGAGGAAAGGCTCTAGGAAACGGTCGAACAAGGAGATGTGTTGAGACTGAAGGGTAAGAGGAGATGATTAACTAGAAGTCTGGGCTCCAGGAACAGACTATAGACTATGGGCAGTAATAGAGGAACAGAAGCACATTAAAATATCTGCTCCACTGAATCCTGCCCTTTGGCATTTCCCACCCACCAATACCTCAACTCCCACAGTGGAGCGCCTGAGATTTCCAGTGACTCTCTTCATTCTTGTGCAAAGTAGCTGAGAGTGATCTGCAAGGCAGAGACAAGAACAGACTCTGGGTCCCAGGACACTTGGCTACGCCTTTTCCATTACAGAATACCTTGCTCATCACCTGTGTTCCTTTCTGTTCCATTAGTCATGCTAACCCCACAAGTGCTTCCTGGCTTCTGGACTGCGCATGGACAGACTTATTACAAGCTCCCAGCTTGCTTAGCAGTTCATCTGATTGTTGCCTTGGGTCCTGGTTCCATATAGCACTAGCACTTGCAACAGTGAACATGTCAGATCTGCTGCAGGATGCAATGGATGCATTCCAGTGCACACAAGCCAAAGGTAGCATTTCCCATGATGCACCATGAAACATAAGCCAAAACAAGGATGCATTCTAAAGAAGATGCAGATCGGTGATGGTAGCAGATAGCTCTGCAGGACAGTGCCTTCCTTCTCCTCTGTGATCAGAGATGTAGGTAAGTGTAGGGTGAAAAAGGAAACCACTTCTCCTTAGGAAACACAACTGCATCCCCAAATATTCAGTGAGCCCTTAGCAGCCTGCTCCCAGTCAGCAGGATAGAAACCTTATTCCTTAGCAAGAGCAGCCGACACCTGAACAGGAAGACTAAAATCAGCTGGAAGTCTCCAGCTGGGAGATCTTCATGGTCTTCCGCTTTAACAATCATCTTCTGTATGCATTTGGCAAGATCGGTGGCTCAGGCTCAGAGGGAGGACATTTCTTGTTTGATATGTCTGAGACAATGATGGGCTTTGATGTTTGTGTTTGAGGCAAGGTCTCACTATACTCCCTATGCGGATGCCAAACTCCTAAACTCAAGTGATCTTCCTGCCTCCACCTCCTGGGAGGCTGGGAGTACAGAGCACCATCAGACAGCTCGGAAGATCATTTTTAAAGCTACCCTGACAAAGTCAAGCTCCCCCTAAACAAATCAGCAAGTTTTCAGTATCCAACAATCCAACAACCCCCCCCCCGAAAAAAAGTCAGAAACAAAGGACCAGCACCATTGAAGGCCCTATGGGATGGAAGCATCTAAATAAATGATTTCAAAGGACCACTTAACATGCTCATTTCATTTAGCAACACTCAGAACCCTGCAAGGTAGGCATACTTGTTTCCATCTTCATAGACAAGGAAGCCATCTTGGAGAAGGTCGGGGCCCAAGGCCACAGAGGTAGCAACTGCACACCTAGAGTCCAGCTGTGGCAATAAATATGTAATGTCCAGGTAAAGTGGGAAGAGCAGCCACCAGCAAACAAGAGGCAGCATATCTGGTAAATTCATCCACTTCAGTCTCTCAACTCATTCTCCATAAAATGGATGACAACAGCCAAACACTGTTGCCAGGATCCTCTGGCACTCCAGTGCAAAAGCCTCTGGGACAAGGGCGAGGCTTGCTCATTTGAGATCTGGGAATTCTAGGAAGTGGAGGCTTGAGGGTACTAATCACATTCAGGGAAAGCCAGTGGGTAATTCTATGGTGGAAGAGGGAAAGGCAGCACACTAGAACTGTTTAGAAGATGAAAGGAAAGGCTGGGCACACTTATAATCCCAGTGACTATGGAGACAGAGTTCAGGAAAAGAATGATTTCAAGGCAGTTTAGGGGAAAACCACTAATGAGATTCCACCTCAACAGACAAGTATGGTCGTGTACATCTGTAGTCTCAGCTACCTCAGAGGCATAGGTAGAAGGAATACAGTTTGGAGCCAGCCCTGGTCAAAAATGAAAGGCCCTATATAAAAATTAACGAAAACAAGGAAGGGGGGGGGGTGGGCTCAAGTGGTAGAGCATGTGCCTCGTGAGCAGGAAATTTGCAAGTTCAAACTCCAATGCCATTAAGGAAAAAGATTTCAAAGACTTCAGCTATATTCAGCTGTCCTGTGAGACTGAAGCACCAGGGACTGAATGGGAAGAGTCCTCTGCAGAGCTATTGCAATAGCTTTGCTGATGATGAGAAGATATTGTTTTATTTTGAAATAGCTTCATTGGATAAAGTATTAATGAGAAATTACATTACAACCTTCCCAGTTAAATAATTTTAATTTCCTGCTACACAACTCACAAAGTTTTGAGGAGCCTTGTTCTAAAATGCCTTAATAAAAATTACCCCTCCTACTGATACAATGAATGAAATGACATTTTTCTATGGAAATGAAGCATTTGCTCTAGCCCCAGCATACATTCAGGTATTGAGGATGCAAAAAAGTAATAATAATTGAGAGATACATGCACTGTAGGGATGCAATTAGCAAAAGGCTTGTCTCTTGTGACATCATTGCCAATTAATGATTATTGATGAAGCTCATCAAAAAGCCAGCAATGAAAACGTAAATGTGTATCACTAAAGGAAAGAAGCCAACCAGAAAATGCTGCACATTATATGATTCCATATATATGGCATTCAGGAAAAAAAATCCTATACAGACAGTAAAAGTAAATGTTCAGAGACTGCCAGGAACTAAGGATGAAGGCAGGGTTGAACAGCTAGAGCTCAGAGGATTTTAAGGTCCATACAACCGCTGGGTCTGGTATGATAATAGTACCATTATTCATTTTTCTAAGCCCATAGAATGAACAACACCAAGAGAGGAACCCTAAACCATGGGCTTTGGTAGTTCATAATTGTTTTTGTGCCAGTACTAAGGGATGAGCTCAAAGCCTCACACCCTGGTGTGGCTTTTTCACTCAAGATTGGTGCTCTACTACTTGAGCCACACCCATCTTTTTTTGCTGGCTAACTGACTATGAAAGACTTTTCTGCTTTGCCTGGCTTGGAACCATAAACCTCAGAACTCAGCCTCCTCAGTAGCTAGGATTACAGGTGTGACCTACTGGCACCTGGCTGGCTCATCATTCTAAATGTCCCACTGCAGTGGGGAACACTGATTGTGGACAGGCCAACCAACCTAAAATTACATCTCAAGTTTCCTCATCTATACAAACATGGGCCTCTTTAAGTCATTTCAAGGATCCTGAGCTTACTAAGAGGGGAGGGAGGGGGGGGGGGGCTATGCTCTGGATGATAGACCAACAGCCAGATTTAATGAAAAATGCTTCAGTGATGGTTCTCAGCCACACAGAGATGATAAAGGAAGAAATCATTTTCTCCTGGGATTTTCCAGAGAATCTAATCTGGGAAATTCTTAGATTCTCAAAGATGGAGCGGAGCTGGATGTCTATAGAGGAAGACAAGGCCCATGAGCCTTTGTAACCCTTTAGCCACTAGATAGTTGTGGATGAAAGCCAGGGACTTAGCTATTCCCTGGCATGGCCTCTTCCAACTGCACTGGCAAAGCTCTGAGTTCTCTCTGACTAGTTCTTTGAGATCTCTCTGACTAGTTCTTTGAGATAGGCATTTCTTAATGACACTTTGGGAGTAAAACAGACAGTGAAGACTTAGGCCCGAATACACTGAATGCTTCCAGAGTTTAATTAAAGAAGTTTCTAATTCGAAAAGTCTACCGGTTCTAATGATTCATCACCCAGACATGACAGGCAGAGCACAGTATACTAGGCCCCCACTGAAAGGCACAGGCTGAGCCTTGAGTTCTGCGGTCAAAGGCAGCAATGCACCCTCCTACCTTCTCTTCTGCCAGGTGCCCAGGACCTTCTGAAACCACAAGATTCTAAGGTGCAACTCGGAGGCCCATTTTTCTGTCTAGGCAGGTGGCCAAGAGCGGAGCCCTGGGATTTGGAAGGAAGGGGTGCAAGGTAGCAGGGCTGAGCCAGGTGTGAGTTGATGGGAGCTGATGAGGGGAGAGGTTTCTCTGACAGGTGAAGCAAGTCACTGTTAAGACAAATCCGGGACTTTTCTTGGTTCATGGGCAGGAGGCCCTTGGAGTTCAGACTGCAGGGAGTTGGGGGGGGGCGGGGGCGGGGGCGGGGGGTTGGCTATTGGGGGGAGTGGGGACTTCATGGAGCCATGTGACACCTGTATAGGTCCTACATAGGTGTGTGTGTGTGTGTGTATGTGTGTGTGTGTGTGTGATTGGTGGGGGTATGAACCCAAAGTTTTTTTATTCAAAAGGAGAGTGGCCACCTGGGAAGGGCACCCCGCGACAGTGCCAGGCAGCTCGGGGTTCACCCGGTATACCTTCCTCCACCCACAAATACTTGAGCCCCGACCCCTTCTCCGCGGGCGCGCCCCTCGGCACTCTGCGTGCCAGCTCCCCCTCCCGCGACCCCCAGCAGATCGCCCGCGGGCAGCAGGAGGGGCGCGCGCGCCAGGTGCGCACTGCCCGGGACGCCCACTTTGCCAAAAGGCCGCGCTCAGGTGGGCGCAGACAATGCCGAACAAAGCCCGCAGCGCCTGCGCGGGGCGGCGCGGGTCTTCCGCGCTGCGGTCCCGGGCGGCTGGCGCCGAAAGAGTCAGAGAGCCCCCCGCCCCCCGGCCCCGCTCCCCGCGGCCGGACCCCGGGCGCACGCGGGGGGTCCCCGCGCCCCGGCCGGCCGGCAGACTCGCGCGATCACTCACCGGGCGGAGCGCAGGGCAAAGGAGGCTGCTGTGGTCGGGGTGCAGGCGAAGGCTCCACTGGGCCAGGGGCCTGGCAGCGCGGACGCCCCGGGACGGCAGCCACGCGGAACACCTGCGGTCTCTGCCTGGAGCGCGGAGGGGAGCGGCTGCAGCCCGCGGAGAGCGGGGCGCGCTCCGAAGGGAGGAGGCGCTTCTGGGAGCCCTGCTGGCCTCGCCCCTCACGTTTTGAAACGAGGCGTTGGCCGAGGCCGGCAAAGTAACAAAGTACTCCCAAGCCTCCCGTCACTCGTCCCCTGATCCAACCGAGACCTGCCATCCCTGGCTGCTTATCAGGTTTTATTGCTCGGACCCATGAGCAAACGTTGGTTTTGGCCTCGTTTCTATTTATCCTGGCACTTGACTTTTATTAATCTGTCCCATTATTGCAGCTAGGCGAGAAGAGGCCGACCTTTTGGTGAACATTTCTGGTTTCTGGTTTAAGTCTACCGAGTACCTGTTTGTGTTTCCATTCCTAACATAGAACCAATCGTTGAAGGGCAAAATAGCGTTTTTGGTCCAATATTTTGTACAGAGACAATTTTCGGTGTTGGCTATTATCGCATCATCTATAATTTTCGTACTTCAGCAATCAAGTTGGCATCATGTGCACTCTTGCACAAAAGTAAAAATAGAAAATGCCAGTAAAGAAATTGAAAAATCAGATATTGCACTGTAGCTTCGGCTACTCTGTTACAGTACATGTAGTTACTTCCTATCATTTCTAGCCCTAGAAAACTTACATGTTTTAGTTTATTCCACAATAGTGGCACGTTGACCAGATTTTCCATGTTTTAAGTCACTTCATAATGTTCTAAATGTATTTAACCTATGTGCTATTTCTCAACACTAAACTTTCAGTTTTAATAATGCTATTACATATCTTTGTTCCTTTGCCTAATTCCTTAGACCACAAGAAGATAGCTAGAAATTTCAAGGTTTTTTTTTTTAATTCATATTATCAAATAGGCTTCCAAGAAGCTTATCTGTTCCTTCCTTTCTGTTCCTTTTCCCTTAGTTCCTAATGATTTCCATCTGAGAGGCAAAGAGCAATTTTTTATACCTTTTCAAAATTGTGTTCCTCAAATCTCATCTTCCTCAGTAGCTAGGATTACAAGCACGCCCAATGGTGCCTGGCCATATCTAGTCATGTATACATCATAAATGCTGTCTTAAAATGTGATTTGTTTCACCAATTGCCCTATACATTGTCTCAGTTAACACACATGGTACAGTGAATTCTGTGAATTTTGTGCAGTACTCCACAGCATGCACTTCAAAGAGCCCAGTGTGGCACAATCCCCATGGCTTTGGAGACACAGTGGTTTGGGATGCCCCAGCTAGGTCTGCCTATTGGTTTTGTACAGAGATAAAAGACCTCTTGTTGCTCAGTTCCTCATCTACCAAGGGCAACAAATGTAATGATTCTCAACCCTGCAGAACCCCAACTCAAATTCTTCGCATCCAGTTCCCCCAGACGATGAAAGTACACAGGAAAAGAACAGCGATAAAGCCAACAGGCTCCTACAAAGTTGTATATTTCCCTGATCCTACAGAATAGCCACTTAATCGGAGCCCTGTTGAGAAATGTACAGAAAACCAATGTCGATTAAATGACAAAGCAGCCATCCCACAGAAACACAGGGCTCCCAGGCAGCAGGTTAGACAAGGGTGGTCTGAAGAGCCAGGAAAAAAGAATATTGTGGTGGTCATGGGAAGCAGAAATGCTACCCCTTCCGGCTAAGGCCCCCGGGTTTCCAAAAAGGCACCAACTGACCTAAAGGTGAAAAGCATACACCTCAATGTCTTTTAAGACAGTGAAAAAAATGTGCAAGGTGATACCTGATTTCCATTTGAGAAACATGCTGCTGTCTGGCTGAATCAAGTAAATATAGGATTTCATGAAGGCAAAAGCTTGGGTGACAGTCACTCAACTAACATTGGAAATAGCCAAATGCTCTGAGACAGCATCTTGCCAATACTTCCCAGCCATTTGGTCTCAAATTTCCCAATCATCAACTTTGCTGTTTCATATATATATGGAACAGGTTATAGTGGTAATCCATGCACCTAGGAGTAGGGTCTGCTCCTGACTTCCATGAGCACAAGTCCCTCCCTCCTTCCTGCAAGACTCATATCACAGGGGCTGGACACTTTCCTGTCTCATGGTTATCACTCCAGGGCTAAAAAGCCAGGACAGGAAAACAGATGAGGCCAGGTAGTTAAAATTCTATAAAACCACGACCAGTTTTCAGGAGGTTGTCTGAAAGGCTTCCCTGGGGAAATGATTGCAATGTCTGAACAATGCTCAGGGCATAGTAACCTAGTGTATTTACACTTTGTGGTCAGCCCCTGGGGTCCTCATGATGTGGGAAAGGGCAGAGTCGTCGTGAGCTCCACCTGCCCACTTCAGGCAGCTGTGTTGGTGATGAACCCATTACAAACAATGGCTTCTAATAAGGGCCAATTGATTTTGGATGGCACTCTCACCATAAATCAAATTCCCCATGGGAATTGGGCAGAATATGCTTGTGCAGGAAAATCTGCATGCGTTGGATTCTCAAGTGTTTCTTGTACACAGCAGAGCTCAGCTATGGCATCCCAATCACCCTCATTCACACTTCTGCACAGATGGTTCACCTCAGTATTTCTGCCTAACAATAAACTGTTTGTTTGGACACAGCCTCAGATTTGGTGTATTCATCGATGGCCAAATTAGGTCAGAGGTTCTACACTTCTCCCAATTGTGAATAGCAGGACCACACTAAACCACAGATTCAGCACCAACTGTCGAGCACACAGTTGGAGCTCAATACTTGTTCAGTGAAACATACTGCAGACATACTGAACTAGGAAACATCTTAGGTGTATTCAGAAAGAAGACTTGGTAGTTTAGTATGTGGGATCTGTGAGGCTAGTGCTACAGCTCTATTATCTCTTCTGGGGAACCAACTCAATCACCAAACTTGTTGCTCCATCTAATTGTTTCTAGATGAATTTCCAGCACTACAGGCTAAAATGCTACAGCTGGAAGAAATGAAGTTTTACACATGATCTTTTGTAATCTTTCAACAGCTTCCTTGGCTCTCTTTCATCAAAAGGCCAGTTGTCATTTGCATGTGCTTTCTGGCTGGAGAGCAGATGGGATAAACAAAGACATCTACTTCTGCAGTGTGATTGTGATTCCTTTGCACAGAAATCAGCGCAAGTCCAGCAGGAAGCATGCTCGGGGGAGCTGGTTGACAAAGGTTTTTATTTGAGCAAATAAACATGAACTTTAAATACAAGCACATCAATATCTGAGCAACATCTTTACATGAGGAAAAATTCCACTATAACAGAGCGGCTGATCCCAATTACCAGGCTTATATCTACTCTGTGTGAGAGACATCTTAGGTTTTCAGAGTCTGGTAATTAAACCACATGAAAATTCTCAAACAGAAACTTTAGGGCTGGCAGGAAAGTCAGCTGGCCCATAATTCTTAGAAAAAAAAGTCTTAGAAAAAATATCTAAGATTATGTGCATCAAGAAAACATTTACTCTAACACAGTTTTTAAACTTAAATTGGTAACTACATTTGTGTTTCATAAAACAGTGAATTTTTTTTTTTACAACCAAAGTCTGAGTGGCTAGGGCTTTGGAAGGACATATGGTTGGGCAGGAGCAGGAAGTTCCCCCTTCCCCTCCCCGTGTCACCTCTCCCACCCCAAAGGACCAGTCCAGAACCCCAGGATAGACGCTGTGGCCAAAAGCATCAAGGATGGAAAGAAGATGCTGATGACCTCAGAGAGGACATAAGAGGCAGATGATGATGGGAACAGGGAACACCAGGAAATACTTCAAGCATACAGGAAATAATAAAACTTTGGAATTCACAAACTAGACTTATTTGATATTAGCATGAAGCTACATTTCTTCAGTATTCTTAAGTAATCCAAGGTTACAGGCTTAGGGCTATAGTTCAGAGGTAAGAGTGCTTGCCTAGCATGCATGAGGCCCTGAGTTCAACCCCCAGCATGGGCCAAAGGAAAGAGAGTCTTAGGTACAGCAGGGAGCCCCTCTCTATGCCTTCCTAGTAATCCCATGAATTTTTTTTTTGTGAATCTTCTCAGTTGTTGTTTTAAAGTTTATTTTTCTTGTTTTTTATTTCTTTTAGAGAGGGTCTTACGATGTAGGACTCAGCCTTGGCCTCCTGAGTGGCACAATGAATCTTCTATACAAGATTTATTTGGTAGGAAGAACTTGGAAGAAAAAAAAAATGCAAACCAACCAACCAAACAACCTAATAGAACCAAGTAAGGAAACAAATGGAGGCACAAAAGGTCATTAACAAAAAACCAGAGAAGAGAAAAGATTCCAATATACAAAAACACAAAATGCAATGCTTCTCTCTTAAGTCACTGCTGTTTCTTTCCTCCTAAGCATTTGCTTCCAAAGGATGCTGTTATCTGAAACAGAAAAACCAACCACCTTTATGCGTCATATAAAAACTGTGTTTAATTAATCACTGTAATTTGTTTTATGTAAGCACTCCCAAATATTCCCTTTTAACTGATATTAGACATGTAGATCTGACTTGTTCAATACCACCATGATGTTTAATTTTCATTAATAATTCTATGAATTATAGCTGCTTATCTTCCCCTTCACAAATACAAAATATGGCTATAAATATAAAAATATAAATGTAAAAAATATATAAATATAAAAAAGTGGTATTGATTTGTGTTAAGCCTTTATGACTTTTAAGTAATCTATTATAGACAATATATGCTCTTATCATTATAGAACTCCTATTTTGGCAATTTACAATTAAATTGTTAATAAAATGAATTCCTTCAGAGATGATGAAATAACATTTTAAAACACACTTTCCTTCGTCTCTAGGAATAATTTAAAGGTAAGAGAAATGTTTGAACTGGATTTTCACCACAATAACCAAAGTATGCTTAAATGACCCATGTGTGCACTGTTTTTCTAATATTATCCCCTAATTTTACATCCTGTACAACAGGCTGAGAGA